TCTTTAGAAATACACGGCGATCCAGATACATTTTCTGCTGGTCTTTCGGGCACGTTGCGATGTGTTGCACTACATCTCGCTGCAATATATATAGAGTAAGGATATATATATATATATATATATATATAGTGTCGATTAAATAGATCCACAATCGATATCGGATTGGTTGAATTGCATTGAGAAGGTTTTGATTGGATAATCATGTTGATCTGAAGTAGCCAATCAAATCGATTTCAATTCCAACGAGAAACCACAACACGTTGAAAGCACAATATAAGATTATTGATTTATATATTATATATACGAGAGACATAAAGTCGAACATATTGGACAGGTTTGGGGGTGTTTCAAAGAAACCCCGAGATCATCGATTCTATATCGACGACCAATCAAAGCCCAGAAATACAATGTTCTCAACTACCCAATCAAAAATATGTACATGGAATTCGTGTGTGATATTGGACAAAATGTGTCAATATATATATATTTGGCAAAAGTCGACCAATGTTGGGTATAAATATAGTACATACCATTGCTTGTCGAATGTACTCTGTGCGGTGGTCCAGCAGCGCCGGCTCTTCTGGACATGTGGGTTGTGGCCCCATATGCTGCAGCTTGGTCTGCAGTTCATCTTGCACCAGTTGGTACTCAATCTTGAGCAGATTGCGGCGACGGTACCCGCCTTTCACGGCTTTGGATTTGCCCTTTTTCTCAGCTTTGGCGATCGTTTGCGCTGTCTTTTGCTATATAGTATCACCATGAGGTTCACAATATACATTAAACTAGTAATACTAGTCGTACCAGTTGGTCTCGCAGCCAGTCGAGTTTCATCTCCAGGTCCCGCGTACTACTACTAGTACTACTACTACTGTCGTCGTCGTTCGCTGGACTTGCGCCGCCCGTTTCCATGGCCGCCACATGCCGCCGCAGCTGCGCCACCTCTGAAATCCCCCGCTGGACCTCCTGCTCCTCCACAATCGCGGCTTCTTCCAGTGTAAAACACAGCAGATGCAGATCTTGCAGGGTAAAAGGGCTGCGTTTGACCCCATATTCGTCGTACAGTTGCGTTTTGGTCATCAACAGCACGTTGTTGCAGTCATCTCGGTCCAATTGCTCATATAGAGCGTCCAGAGCGATCGTGTCGGCGGCATGCTGGTCCATAAGGCGAGCATTCTCCTTCTTTGTGTCGGCAATAGCCTTGCGCAACGCTATATATATGTACGTTGAAATATATGTATATATATATATATATATTGATACAATATGTAGTTGTGCTTTGAAATGGTTATATATATATATATATATCCATTGTCAAGTTGATTCCAAGGTATGGCAGATCCAGAATCACCAGATGATATATTGGCAGACAATCGATATATCGACCAATCAAAACGCAGATAATAACATGAATACTCCTCAAGTGGCCAATCAAAATATCCGAATTCGTGTGGGACTTTAAGTGACACTGGACCATGTTTTAAATACAAAAGTCCATACAAACAAGAATCGATCGATGATATATATATATATATATTGGCAAAGAATCAGCCCAAAAGTCAACCAAATTTAAGGTAAAACAACAATATATATATATACCTTGTTGTTTCTTGACCAGTTCACGCCCACGCATTTCAACGTGCGTGATCGATTGGCCCTATCAGAATGCAGGTTGAAGGGGTTTCGGGATTTCGGGGGTTCGGGGTTTCGGGGGTTCGGGGTTGGAGGTACCTGTTGCACGTCCAAGTTGCTGACTAACGTGATGCACCTGCGCTTTTCCGCCACGCGTTGCTGGAGAAGTTGCTCCAGTTGGACGTTCTTCGCGTTCATTTGGGCCATTTCGCGCCTCAGTCGCTTGCATTTGGCGCGACATTCCACGTCCAGCGCCGCGAGCCGCTTGAGGTCCGCAAGCCAGAGCTCCTTGTCCAGCTCCGTGAGCACCATCGCCTTCATGTGGTCGGACTGGATCGTGTTGAAGCGCTGCTGGTACACGGACTTGGTGGCTTCGTCGTCATCCATGTCGTCCACTTGGTCGGGGTCGCCCACGAGTCCGCGATGGCAGTCGCAGAACCCGATCACCACCGGCCGCGGCGTCTTGTTGATCTTGTCGATCACGTCCGAGTACGTGAACCCCGCGACGGACGCGCCGGCGATCTCGACGATGCGAAACCCTGCGTAGATGCGACTAGTTGGACGAAGAAACGTGAGAAAGGACAAGCACAAGACACACGAACCGATCGGGTTTGACGCTCCAGTTGTACAGCTCCGCGGGCGACGCGTGGCCGTTGCCGAGTTTGCGAAGGGTGTGAATCTCGACCTGGAATTGCGTCCATAATGTGTCGGGAAGGGCGTCGACGGCCTTGAGATTCATGCCGAGCTTTCCCGGGCCGAATTCGATGTACAGATGGAGTTTCCATTCGTACAACTTGCCTACATCGTGTTCGATCAACGTCACAGGCCAAGGTCTAGGAAGGACATACCTGTCTTCACGAGCGGTGGTATCCACTGCGCCTGACCTTCAGGAGAGATGTAGTACCATTTTCCCTTGTGATTTGTCGACTCGCGGTAGGACCAGCCTTCGGGAAGTGGCGTGTGGTAGTCGCCAATGGTTATGATCTTGTTCTCCGAGATGCGCGCCTCTATGGACATTCGCCTCTTCGCAGAACTCTTCCTCACCGAGTCAATCTTTGACAGGCTCGAGTCGCGTTCCACGAGCACCACGCTGTCCTTCCGCCGGCCGTCGCCGCCGGTACCCTCGGCCATGACGATATAAGTCTCTGATAACGGGATGGGTCACGAGAAAGACGGTTTACTTGTTTTACCTACTGCAATGAGTTTAGACCAATGGGTGTACAAAAGTCCAAATTTTGGGTAAAAGGATTGTCCTTTTACCCAAAATTTGGACTTTTGGGCTGAGTCTCCAAATCTATCCGATGGATTCTTTGTCCTGATATTTGTCCGAGTATTACACTAATTTCAGTCACACTGTTGAATGGTCGAACGGTAAGTTTGATTGGCCACTTGATTAGTGTTCTGGGTTATGATTGGTCGATCGATTGTCTGCCGATTTGGTCATGCGATTCGAAAATAACAAATGTGGAATGAAATCGCCCACATATTTGACAATTTAGTGAAATCTGATTGGGTAGGGGACATCTGGACCAACAGTCCAAGCGACTCAGTTCAAATGTGGTTTAAAAAACCATGTACGTTTTAACGTTTTACTCAACACGTCCAACGTTAAATTAAAATTCAACAGCTCGACGCAGCGAAGATTCGTCGGGGACTTTGGGCGCCGCCTCAACGTGGCCGCTATCGCTTCCGACGGACACCTAACGACGTCGCCCCATTGAGCCGATGAGCGTCATCATCATGGAGGTCATACCCGAGTGCTCATCCATCCGCTATGGAATGTCAGGATGGCGGTGACCCATTCTCTCAGTTCGTCCATCGTGTTCGCTTGGAACCGGTTCTGCGCCTGGGTCGTGCTCACCGTGAACACGAGTTCCTTGGGGGGTTTCTTCGACGATCCATTGCTGCTCCATAAGTCATGAGGAACAACATGCACACACACACACGGAAGGAAGGATGTGTGTGCAACGTACAGAAGCGCTTCGCAGACCACTTCCAACGTCGGGTCCGTCAATGCAATCTCTCCTCGGGGCACGGGGTCCCCGCGCTTTTTGTAATAGACCAGCGAGCCACTAGCATGCAGCTGACACCAACGCTCCCGTGCCCCGCGCATGAGGCGCATGGACTTGAGCATTCCTGGCGAATCCTGCGATTAGAGAGTGCTGGGGCGACATGACGACATACCGCCGCCATCTTGGTTGAAATGCGTGGGGAATTTCTCCAAGTGGCCTTGACGCAGCACGTTGAGCAGTGGACTCGTGTGACTAAGTCAACAATCAATGAGCAGCACGATGGGAATCACATTGTCGTCGTTACGTACAAGTCGGACGAGTTGGACCGGTTGAAGAACCCGCCGCGCGACGAACTACCACGGCCTTTCTTGTCAAGCGCAAATTCGAAAATGAACACACAACAACAAAAGTAGATCGAGTTTCGGGGGTGGAAATATATCGAAAAAGAGAGTTTCGGAGTTTCGGGGTTTACGTACCCCATCAGCGACGAGTCCTGGGGCACAGGCGGCGGCGGTGCCGACATGGGGTTGTCTGGAGAAACCCCCGACAGCATGAGAGTGACTTGCATGTCATTTAGATATACATGTACCTTGAACGACGGGAGGCGGCCGCGGCGCGCGGCGCATGTCTATTTCAATGTAGTGGCGTTAAAGGGTTTCGGGGATACATATATTACCTGGCGATACCGACATGCCTCCGCGGGATGACTCCAAGATGACTTCAGTCTGCTGGTTGTACACCTTACTGAGCTGAGCCAGCTCCACGTCGGCCTGCCTCGTCTTGGCCTCTTCCTTGCGCATCTCCATCTCGATCGCCGCCACCCGCTGCCGCACCACCGCCAGCTTGACCTCTGTGCTCATGCTGTCATCCACCACCCCCACCAGACTGTCGGGAATCGCGTGATTCAACCCATGTACGAGCTGCGCATCCAGCTCGTCCAGGTGGCGCTGGTTGGCATCGCGCTCCCGCCGCAGCTTCTTGTTGCCGGCGGTCATGTGGCCGATGTCCTGGGTCAGTTCGGCGTTCTTGGCGCCGAGATCGTTTGTCCGCTGGACCTCGGGACTGACAATGAGGCCGGTCTCCTGCTTGTGAAGGTGCACAAGCATCTCGTCGTACTTGGCCTTGTCCGCCGTCGCCGCCTCGATCTGCTTCTTCGCCTTCACTTGCGCCTCCAACAACTCGCTTAGCGACGCCGACAGCAGATTCCACTTGAAGCGCAACTGGCGGTACGTCCACTGCACTTTCTGCGTCTCGAGGCGCCACATCTCGTTGCTTAGCTCGGTCGTGACAAGTAAGTTCATGTACTCTTCCTTCTTTTGCTTTTGAACGCTGTATGCAGAGAGCGGCGCCGACGATGGAGCGATCGCCGTCGACGACGCGGTCGGGTGCGCCGACGACGACGACGACGTGGGCGCGGCATCTAATGCTGACGTCTCCCCTTCTCCTAAAAGACCTTGTGCGACGTCCGCAAACTAAGATAGACGAGTGAGAGAGAAAGGACGACGGGACAGGAACATCCACAGACCTTGAGCTTGACGGGGCGGGCGGCGCGCTTGAGCTTCTCGACGACTTCCGTGTACTTGCATCCCGCCAGCGCGACGCCGTCGACTTGAGTGAGTCGCATGTTCTGGTACAGACGTCGTTCCGGCCGCACGCTCCAGTTGTAAATCTCCGCGGGCCCGGGCTTGCCGCCGGGGAGCTTGGGCAGTTCCTCGACTTCCGCCTGAAACATGGCGAATGGGATGTTCGTCGTCTGTGGAACTTCCTTCAAGTTGACGCCCAGACGCCCTGGCCCGAACTCAATCTCGATCTCACATCGCCAGTTGAAAGATCGCATCACGGTCACCCGGCGCGGAGGAAACCATTGGGTTTGGCCTGCTGGCGACACGTAGTAGTACCGACCTGGCTGGGACTTGGACTCGCGTTTATCCTACGCATGTGAAAAAGCGTCATGGTATGCGCCACAACGGGAAGCAAGAAGGACATACCCATCCAGGCGGCAACTCTTCCACCATGCTCATAGCTGCTGGCGCCGACGTTGGTGTTGCTCCAGTATAATTAGTCATTAGTACATGGGTGACACGTTTTAAAATTGCATACAAAACCCAAGTGGTTTAATAAAAATGAACCTTGCCCGAACATGACAAAAGGCGAGTCCAAGTGACAATATCGGGTATAGTATCTTATTATAATACAAAACGGGTGTAGAAAAATATAATATTTCTTCGTAGAATCAACACACTTGTAGATGCAACAGCTTCATTCCCGAGTAACATCGTCGGTATAGAGCACCAGGTATTAATATTGTGCCGTAACTATTATATATACTGTAACCAAGGTACGTACGTACGTAGTGACCCTCAAGTATTATAGTAGAATTCGATTGCTAAATTCTTCCGCCAAGTCACAATATATTTTCAAATAATTTTGTTTCAGTAGGTAGCAGAAATAATATCTCGAGACGGCCCCACCAAGAAGGACATGCGACACGTCACAAGACCCTTCCAAGCTGCATGCGTAGTCCAACCACCGCAAGGATGCATGACAGACAGACTTCGATCACAGAGATGACGTGGCAGCCTGGAGAGGGCTTTACTCCGACGATCAACGGGACTTGGCCTAGTTTGCCACTCATTCCAAGCATCTGAAACGTTGTGTTTGTCGATACATTTTCTATTGCATTTGATTGCCATGACACTCAAACCCTACATCCGTCCATATTGACAGACAGGTCTACACTCCACCAGATACTGACCTTCCTCGGCAAGGCGAGGTAGATCGAATCGGACTTACATATCCAAGGGTGCCCCCCCGTCGTTCACGAGCTTGTAAGTCAGGACTTGTACTCCAAGCCAATCACATGTGTACATACTTCAAGTACGTACGATGTATGAAATTGAATCGGGTCAGCCCAGCAAAGGTTCTGCCACACAGATAATTTGATTGTTGGGGGTTTCGTGGTTTTAGGGTTTTATTGTAACCCCATGACGCTAAAACAACGAATTATCGGGTATTAATAGTACACGATACAAACTGCAAGTACGTTTCGACAGGCAAATCTAAGTGGAAGAAAATAAATCTCATGTGAGTCAGTATGCGAAATACTACCAATGTTGTTTACTATACACATCAAAAGGGCACAATATGTCACCAGCATGGTCGAAAGGCATGAAATATCCTACTATTAATAGTAGTATTGTTCTAGTAGTAGTCAAAATAATTCCTTGGGTAAAATATATGTCGCCATTATATTTGGTGGTGAATCTGTTCAAGAACAGATGGTGTCTATCTTGATTTGGATACACTTGGAGGTAAAACGGCGCAACGAGTCGGCCTCTCTGCACTAACAACTCCGTACAGCTCCAGACATAAGTTAGTAGTACTATGTAGTCCTACTAACGTATGTAGTAAGTGCACCAAGCAACCCTCCGTGTACGGTAGTACGTAGCGTACTACATGTGTTTCGGTTAGTTAGAACGAACGAGCAAACCCCGAAACCCCGCGAGAGCTGTAATGGGGATGATGGTTATCCGGATTGTTGAAGGTCCTTTTAGTGGTGAGTAGCATTATTGTTCTGGCCAAGCAGCAGAACGATGGGGTTCAAGCTCAACAACATCGCGCACATCTTCGCGCTGTTGTGCGCGATCAACATGCTTAACTACATCGACAGAGGCATCATCCCTGGCGCCCCCGTGGAGTTCCAGGCGTTTGTCCAAGAGACTGTCGAGAAGCAGGACCTGTCCGCTGGGACGATCCCCGCCGACCACAGCAACGTCAGCACGTACATCGGTCTCCTCGTGTCTGCCTTCATCGCGTCCTACTCTGTCTTCATCTGCATCTTCGGCTACATGAGCATGACCCGTCGTCCGTTCCTCCTCTCCGCCATCGGGCTCTTCATCTGGGTCATCGCCATCGTTCTGTGTGGCCTCGCCAAACCGCTCAAGAGTTTCTATGTACTTCTCATCGGTCGATTACTCAGTGGCATCGGCGAGTCGTCGTTCCACGCGACCACTCCGCCCTTCATCGACGAATTTGCGCCCCCCAAGTCTCGAACGTTGTGGCTCGGCATCTTTTACTGCGGCATCTCAGTCGGCACGGCGCTCGGGTACACGTACGGCGGCCTCATGGCCAAGATCTGGGACTGGGGGTTCTACCTCACGGCCATCGTCATGTTTCCCATGGCGTATGCGTGCTGGCAGTGGATTCCTCTGCATTACGACTACCCGTTGGCTCACAACGAGGACGCGGCCGACCACCTCCAGAACCGCAACAGCCTCATGGGTCCTGGAGCGTTCAACCAGGCTGAGATCCACGCCGAAGTGGCCAAGGAAGCGTCCGCTCTGGACAAGTCCCCGTCCGTACTGGCCGAGATGTTTGGCATCGTGAAGGACCCCATGTTCATCACCGCCACTCTGGGTGTGGCGGCGTATTCGTTCACATTAGCCGGCATGGGCGCATTTGCCCCAGCTATTTTGATCGGATATGGTATTTTGAACGAATCCATCGCGTCCACAGCATTTGGCGGTATCGCCGTCCTCTCCGGCATCATCGGGTCGCCCTTAGGTGGATGGCTCATCGATTACCAGAGCCGCGGCCACGAAGACGACGAAACATTCCGTCTGTACGTGGCCGCGCGGCAGATGATTGTGTTTATGAGCATCGGCGTGGGCTTTGCGTTCCTGTCGCTGTTCTTCATGGACAACTCGATCGCGTTCCTCGGGTGTCTTCTGCTTGCGCTCACGTTTGTGTTTACGACCCAATCTGCCCAGACGCTGGTGATTCTGTACAGCGTGTCCAAGCACCGGCGGGGGTTTGCCATGGGATTGAACACGTTTCTGCTGCACTTGGTCGGGGACGTGCCGTCGCCCGTCATCCTCGGCGCGCTCAAAGACAAGTGGGCGCCCAACTGCGGCAGCGTCTACAACGAACTGGACGAGGCCAAACTCAACCCCAAGTGCTCCCAGGACAAGGACGGACTGCGCAATGTGCTGTTCTTCTCGTACGCGTGGCTGCTCTGGGCTGTGCTCACGTGGGCCGCGTCGTTCCTGATTGCCCGCTACCGCCTCAACCACCGCAACACCAAGAGCCAAGATGTCGAAACCCCCGTCGTCACATAAAACGTTAGGTTTTTTAATATGTAGTCGGGCCATATTATTGTCATTTTACCCAAAATTTGGAGTCTGGATTTTTCACTAGTAGTATCCGACTAAAAAAAGGAGTGTAATGACATGTGGCATGTGTCTTTCCAATCATGTGTTTATCAAAAGGTGCCTCCTGAGTGAATTATGGCCAATGAGGAGGAAGTCTTTTCGACCTCAAATCATATGGGTGTTGTTTACAGTTAAGGCGACGTTCAAGTTCTCTAATTTCTATTACTCTATTTGCTTTTATAAATAGATCTTTATATCGTTTGCTCGAAGCATTTCCAATAATTTCATAAAATCTACATTTGGGCATATCAATGATCCTAGACAGATTTCGGAAGCACTGCCGTAGACTTCCCAATGCACGGAAATTTTAATGCACGGGAAATATGTGGCAGACCCAACTCATGATTTCGACAAAACTTATTTGGATTTACCACATCCGCATGAGGAACGATATCCGTATGCTTGCATGTGTGGTGGCGAATCCACACCGCACATAGTTCCCTGTTGTTGCACTGCGTAAGCTTACTCATGTGGCCCCATTACCACAACTGGCATCACGAAGGGGTCTTGTCATACACCTCATGGGTCCACAACTTTACTATCACTATGATCCCAGTTTTTTGCGTACCACGTTGAGCAACGGAGTGGCTTTACGACAACTTACGAAACCGCTTGGTGATTTTAGTTCATGATTAGAGGGGCGCAACTGAGTACTCGACCATGTCCCTTATGTGCACATGCGGATGAGAATTGTGAGTTTTCTGTACGCTTCATGCGCCTATAGGCGAAACACCGAAGCCCCATATTCAAATCGTCGTGGCAGGACAGCGAACCAAGGCAATTACGCCTACTGCTGGAGAAGGTTCAGGATAACTGGCTGAATGAATAAGACAAGATAAGATGCACGTAATTGCTCCACCTCTGAACTCTTGGAATGGCCCATCTTACACTAGTGAAGAAAAGGCTGGACACCAGGTTATGCAAGGTGACGAAGTGTGCATTATTAACGTTATGCGCGACTGGTTGAAATCTCTACAATTTTATAACTTCAATTCCAAACATTATAACTATGACGATTCACAGGGAGACTGCGCCCAAAGCGTAAGCGGTATACAATAAAGTACACACTACCGGTAGTTGAAATCATACACTAGTTAGACATTGATGGTGGTTTCCTACAATCTGATTGGCTAAATCCTTCTGCCCATTCTTCATTTGGATGTGTCGATTCTAATTCCCCATGTCGCACTAGTTTAGAATAAACACAACAATAATATTCATCCCAGAGTACCGTTTCGTGACGAGATCGTTCAGTGCCACAAGCACACGTTCTCCCTGTTAATATAGTTTGTCAATGATGCAAGAGATTGCAACGAGCATACAAAAGTAGATATCTTCTACTGACAGAATGGCTTTGCGTGCTTCAATATCGCGAATCCCACGGCGCTATTCAGGTGCTGCACCATAATGGTTATTCATCAAATTAACGATGTTTACTGCAAACACTACACGAGCGAGTTTGGCCTTCCATAACCAAAGGCGGTTGTATATTCAACTAAGTGGGTTGTTCTGACTTACTTCGGCAAGTACGGTTCAATGAAGGCACGAGAAGCGCTGGTGCGTTCATAGATACCTGGCTTGCCGAGGCTACCACAGCCCTTGCCCCCTTTGATCACCCCCACCAAGCGCACGGTACCGTTTTCTTCGATGGTCATCGCCCCCCCCGAGTCGCTGGAACACGTGTCTTCTCCTTCCACGCCTCCAGCACCCAACCAATGGGCCCTCAGTTCAGCGATGCCAAACGCAGCCGCAGCCCTGGTGTTGTTCCAGGTCGTTACGTTGAGCTCCTTGAGCACTGTCGATCGGGGGCCACCAACCTTGATGTTGATGTTCCCCCAGCCGCGTACCCAAGTGACCACGTCCGCCGGAACGTATTCAAACGACACCGCCACAGGTTGGATGCTCGTGATGTTGCGGTCCAAGATTAGGATGCCCAAGTCGACGCGAACATTGGGGTGTCTGATTGCCTGGGCGACATTGGCCAGTTCCCCGTCGTCAGAACCGTATAAATAGTGCGTGCCCACGACCACAAATTTTGCATAAGCAATGTTACAATGCGCCACTGTCAAAACGACATTGGGGGCGATCAGACTGCCGGCGCATATGCTCGGTGCAGTGGTCACATGCTTGACCCGAGCGACATAACGGTGCTTGCCTTGTTGGGCTTCCTCGCCCCCCAGGATTTCGAAACCGTCGGCAGGGGCCTCATCGCCCCAAGCGACTTTGGGTGGGACAATTTGGTCTTGAGCCAAGGCAGCGACGGCCACGGTGACAGCGAGAAGGAGTGCGAACTTCATGGTGGAAATTGGAAAATGAATGGTCTTTCACCTAGAGCCAAGTCAATCCAATCGTTTACGTCAGACTATGATTGCACTACCAAGTGCCAAGGTTAACCAAATGGATGGTTGGGATGTGTACAACATGCATACATGCACTCACGCAGGTCTTGTCTTCTTGTCATAAATACCCAACAGCGTGGCCGACAATCTTGCCAGAAAAACCAGCTACTGTACCACCATTATCGCACTGCCAGATGAAGGATCCACATAGCCCTGTAACCTGGGACTCCGTCCTACCCCCGGTGAGTACATACGATGCTAAATCTCCGGGGTTAACTGCATCGCTAGTGGATTGTAGGGAGTTGATAACGCAGAGGAAATTGTAAAACTGATTGATTGGCGTTATCTACATCTACATGCATGACTACTGTGACTATACTATATCTAATGCTATATATACGTGCGCTCTGCAGAAGGAACTTCTGGTGTCCATGGCCGAGCACGCCGCACGCCAATCGAGCTTGGTCGTAAACTGACGTCAACAGTGACGTCTGTTCTGATTGGTCGATAACCCTATGACGCCACTGGAGTGACGTCGTTACATGGATAGCTATCGCTAACCACTGAGATGCACTTTACCCCTATTAATAGTAAGAGGTGAGGTGGTCTGACCATACAAAGTTCCATATAAATCTCATTGAAACAGTATTTCGGGTCAAAACAACAGTGGAACTGTTTTTAATGAAGGAATTATTCTCCGTGCCACGATACGTGATTGGTAGAAAAGAATCACGAATTGTCAACCAATCACCTGCAATTTCATTTGCGATTTGAGATGTAACTGGATAAAATCAAATGGCTTTCGGTTTGATACACTGCGCGACTTACTAGTACGATCGTACTGTCCGCGTACGTTTGCCTCCTTCGTGGTTGTTGGTGGTCGAGGTTGTCTAGCCGGTTAACGATGTAATCACGTTAACGTTAGTACGACTTTTTCGGTAACGTGATCAAATCGTTAAGACCCACCAAAATTCTGATAAAATGGGGCCTCTATGTGCGATGATAGACCAATTCCCCAAGTGAGTGGGTGACACACCCACTTGATTGGTCAAAACCCACTCACTCAGGGAATTTGGCACTATTGACCTAAAACGTCCCTGAGTAAGTGGGTGGGACTAATTGCTTGCTACGATAAGTACAATCCTGAGGTACTAGGAGTACAATGCTAAGGTTTACGTTAATCACCGTTACGAAGGCATACATGTACATACAGTAACGTTACAACTCTGATGTATCCCAGGTAAATATAAATAAATACTTACTACTTCGAAGTACTGTACTAACGTTAGTACATGTAGTACAGCTGTGCAGTACCATACAATGCGCGCCACATGGATAGGACACCCTGGTTTTCTGTAGTAGTGGATGGCAGTTGTGCTGATTTGCAGCCCAAGCGAGGAGGAAGTCAATTGACAGCCATGGCGAGTTCAATTAAGTGAAGATGCAGACAATTACAAAGCGTATTGATCAAATTATGACACTAAACAGCTATTTGGGGTGCGACATCAGGATAGGACACCCAAGAAGTTTACAACGGAATATGTCCTGGAAGCACAAAGTTTTGTATTTAATATTTAGTCTTGCCTCCTTTAGCTTGGATCACACGCACACAGCACTTTGGCATCGACTTGACGAGGTCCTGCAAGTAGTTTTGCGAAATTTCCCCCCACTCGCGCATGATGGCAACCTTCAGGTCGTCCACGGACACAAACTGCTTACCATTAAGGTAAACATGGCGAGCCAGAACACCCCAAACATTTTCAAAGGGGTTTAAATCCGGCGAGAGCGCAGGATGGTCAAAAATGACCACATCTTGCTCGTCCAGAAACTCCATGACCGGCTTGGCACGATAAATACTGGCATAGTCTTGCATAAATACAACCCCCCCGTCTGCCATACATTTCATGGCCAAATGGAAACAAAACGTTCGACAACGTGTCGATATACTTGTCATCTGTTTGGGCGCCTTCCAGAAACGCAATCTCCGTCTTTCCGTGACAGGAAAATGCTGCCTAAAGCATGCAACTACCACCGCCGCTATGCCGGGTGAAAAATTGGTCCTTCTCGTGGTCGAGGTTATGCCAATAGAATTGGAAGCCATCGGGGCCATCCAGATTGAACTTTTTCTCGTCTGACCACACCACATTGTCCCATTCTGGTGGTTTCGTGAGATGGCCTTCGGCGTACTTGAGCCGCGCGTCCTTGTGCCGCTGAAGGAGCTTGGGTGCATGCTGGCGCTTCGTATACTTCAAGAACACGGTTTGGTGTAGGATTCTTTGGTAAGTCCTCAGCGAGATATCCAATGGTACGTGCGCTTTGAGCTGCCTGGCAGAGCAGCCGGTCGTCGAGGCGTGTTTGAACAGTTGGCGGCGTGCACGTTCCGTCACTTTTGTGGCCTTTGGGGTGATGTAGTTGGTCCTGTACGTCCTATCCATGTGGCGCGCACTGTAGTAAGTACCGTGTAGTGTATATATATTGCGACGGATTAATCTTTTGCGACTCCTGTAATAACTGATAATTTTCTTGTAATAACTGATATTTACTTGTGTGAACATGTCTAATATACTTCAAATTTGTATGACGCAATGGATTAACAAAATTTTGAGAATGAGTGTCGGCTGGTTGTGATTTATCACCTGTCGCAATACATATATACTATACGGTACTATTAATAGTACTGCACTAGTAGTACGTTAATTGTGGCTAGATCCAAGCCGATAGTATTGCAGCTGCATTCTTGTTCTGTAGCTAGCTGCGTAGCTACAGCTAGTGTAGTCACATCTCTTTAGCTAAACCTTACATAAGGGCACAGCGTAGCCCCAATAAGTATGCAGCCACTCCCCTGTACTCGTTGCATTAATCTCATCAACATAGCTATATTCCACGACCGGCCTTTTGTATGGACAGAAATATTCCGCGACCATTCCGCGACCGGGCATCCCCAATGTTACTTTGAGTAGTGATAGTTTCACAGCCATGAAAATGTGAATTACAGCACTTGGATGGATCCCATTTATTGACGCGCAACGCTACGAAACTAAAGCCTTGGCACAATGAATTGTCCTTGTATCGTTCGTTGCCTTCTTAATTTGTCATTTTGATGTGTTGGATCAACGGCGTCATTTCTCATTAGAGACGTTTAGCAACTCGGAATTTGGGCATATTCCTGAAATTTACTTCGTTCGATTGAGCGAACGGAATTTACCAGCGTAATTTGAACCAAAGCATTTAGCAACCGCACCATTCGAAATTACTCTGCGACATGTTATGTATCTATTCTGATTGGGTAGCGTGGTGCATACGTTTAGAACCATTCACAAGCAAATTGACATGCATCGTCGAGGCGGGATGGCCTCGGCTCGCTATGCTCGTTTCCGAAGTTTACTGCACTTTCGGCTCTTCGCACTTCATCGACGTCGCACTGCAGCGGCTGAGCGCCTCACCATTCCGGACGTCCTCTTCTCGCTTACCCGCTACAACGATCGTGAGTGCCTCGAGAAGTTTCGGTTCACGAAGGCCGACATCCTTCGCCTCGTTGACGGCTTTGCTCTACCCGATCGAACTCGGAATTTGGGCATATTCCTGAAATTTACTTCGTTCGATTGAGCGAACGGAATTTACCAGCGTAATTTGAACCAAAGCATTTAGCAACCGCACCATTCGAAATTACTCTGCGACATGTTATGTATCTATTCTGATTGGGTAGCGTGGTGCATACGTTTAGAACCATTCACAAGCAAATTGACATGCATCGTTGAGGCGGGATGGCCTCGGCTCGCTATGCTCGTTTCCGAAGTTTACTGCACTTTCGGCTCTTCGCACTTCATCGACGTCGCACTGCAGCGGCTGAGCGCCTCACCATTCCGGACGTCCTCTTCTCGCTTACCCGCTACAACGATCGTGAGTGCCTCGAGAAGTTTCGGTTCACGAAGGCCGACTTCCTTCGCCTCGTTGACGGCTTTGCTCTACCCGATCGCATTGTCACACCCGAACGAACTACTTGTTCTAACGTGGAGGCTGTCTGCATTGTGCTACGCCGGTTTGCAGTGCCTGATCGATGGTCCGACTTGATCGATATGTTTGGGAGGTCTTGCAGCGGTATGTCAAATATATTTTTGCATACCATTGACTTGATTTACACCCGCTTCGAGTCGAAACTCTACTTGGACGTCGACCGTGTTGCGGGTG